ACCATGGGTAAGGGCCGGCACCCCCTGCTCTGCCGCCGGCTTCGCCTCCGCGCCCTCACGGTGTCGGTGTTCCCTTCTCCACCGGCCCCGGGTCGGGTCAGGGTTTGGCCGGGAACGCTGGAATGGAAGGACGTTTATCAGCTAGTTTATGGGCGATAATATAGTGGAAGCAAACTTTTTTTTTTTTGCTTGATATGTTCAGGCGTTGTGTTTAATAAACTGCGTTTGCCGAAAAGTACTGCAATGCTTTTTGGTGACAAAAGGAAAGTAAATAGGGGGTTTTTTTCCCCATCGTGCTCTGTAGCCGAGGAGAAACCGTGTATTTGTCTTGCATTGCCTTTAGAAGAGAAAGTGAGCAGTGAAAAGAGGAGCAGGGGGCTTGGGGGACTGCTCCAGATGCAGATCTGCGTGGTTGAAGCTCCCCCCGGGTTTTTTTGATGCAGCTCTTTGCCAAAGTTTGCAGCTGTATCAATGCAGGGACAAGGCGCACAATTCAGTGGACAGGATGCTGCTACTTTGCAGTTTCTTAGTGCAGTTCAAAATCCTTAATTCAATTTCAAAATCAGTTTACAAAAAAAAAGAATAATTCACAAACTCCGTCCATTTTTCTACTACCTAGAGATCACTGTGAGCCCCAGGCAGGCAGAGGAGGAAAGTGCCAGGACCAGTGGTCTGCAGGGGACAGCAGAGACATCGGGGTTGCTCTGCAGTGCTCAGTGAGGCGGATTTGCAGGGACCCGGGGGCTGAGTTTGAGTGCAGAGCCCAGGCAGGTCTGGGGAGATGCTGCAGAGACGCCTCTGCTGCTCCCCTCTGGTACCCCCTGCTGTCCATTGTCTGGTCGGGAAGGGCTGTTACACCCGCACCGATCACCCGGCAGGGTGTGGTGCCTCATCTGCTGGCAGGGGGGGTCTGGGGGTCCAGGTGAGTGGGAAGAAGCCCAGGGAGCTGGATGAGACGATGATGCCGAGTCTCATTGCAGCAGCTGGGGTAGGATGTCCCTGGGAAATGGGAAGCAGATCTTCATTGTCCCTTGTAGCTACTCTGAGTATCGAAATCATGCTCGGTGTGAATTCTTGGGTCACTGAGGGGTTTGTTTTGGTGTTTTTACTTCTCGTTTACAGCTACGCTGGGAGCTGTGTTTGGCTTAGGTACCTGCCTCAGTGCCCAAGTCCGGGAGGAACCACATAGTCCTTTGGACTATTTTGTTGGTGGCTGTGCATCGGGAGCTGTCGTGGGAGCGAGAGGTAACTGTGCACAACGCCTGCAATGAAATGAGCCCTTGCTGGTTTTAGAAACTTTTGTCTTGGGGGAAAAATGTTAAATAATGTTGGTGTCAGGCTTCTTTGGTGAAGATTCATCTCAGCCTCTGATTCATGCCAGTTTCGTTGGCACTCCATTGTACAGGTCTGCTAAAATAAACAGGGCTACAGGAGGGAGGACGGGGAAGGGAACATAAAGTGATACACAGAATGAAAGCAGGACTGACCTAGTCCTGCCAGTTAGAACTACCAGTTATACCTGAAAATTGCAGGATATGAAAGATGTAGTTGTGGAAATACATGTTTTCTTGGCAACAAGTGTGATTTATTTTACGCAGAAAGTACAATCTAATGTCTGCCTTGTGAATTCTTCACATGGTCTGAGGGACAAGCTGTGTCCTGCTGCTGTTGCTCCTGTGGCCCTTTGTCAGGCTTGAGCAGCTCCTGCAGATGCTAACACAGCTCTGTTTTCTGTAGGCATTCAGACTTGAACCCAAAGAAGTGAGGGATTTATTTAAGTTGTAAATAGAATTTATCTTTACTTGTCCTAGCTGATGAGCCTGATGAAAGTTCAAAGCAGCGACTGTTACTTTTGTCACTCAAATGAGCCATTTAAGACTGCCCATGTAAAGGGATGGGGCAGTGGATTATCAAAACTGATATTTCAAATTGCAAGCTAAAAGCGTGAGAAAACTCAATTTTATAAAAAAGTTACTTTCCAATCTCTCTGGGCAGACAGTGTTGCTGATGGTCAAGGGACCTACGAAAAACGACAGAGTCTGTTGAGATCTGTTGCACAGGACTTGTGCCCTAACAGGTGTTTCCTGGTTTGATGTGTTTTCTCCAGCTCGCAGTTACTTCGCTGGCACCACGGCTTGTCTGGGGCTCGGATTCACTGCGGCCCTCCTGAAGATTGCAAACATTGAGGGCTGGAGGCTGACGGGACCTCCCAAGCTGTAAATGTCGCCTTTCCTCCCCGTGAGCTGGCTTCCTAATGCTCTGTGTACCTAGGACGTTGTATAATAAAGGTTTGGTCAAACCAGCAGTTGTCACAACATTGTGGTGTCCTGTGGCTGCTCCTGGTGTTTGGGCTGAGGTGCAGAAAGCTGGAGCAGCTGGAGGGGAAGCGGGATCTGCTGCTCGTCTGCTGCTCCCGCAGCAATTTCTGTGCACGAGTTGTTTTGCCTCCCTCTCTCAGCATTGTGTGCACGGGTTTGAGGGCTGCACTGGAGCTTCAGGGTGATCCTTGTAGTCCCAGAGGACTGTGTGACAGGAATTGGGATTGCACCACACTGAGCCCATCTGTGAGGGTCTGGAGCCAAAGCTTCTGCAGTGGTGCTTGGCTCTGGGCTGAGGATGGGGAAGGTGGGGTGAGGAAGGAGGTGTGGGTTGCCCACAGCAAGGTGTCTGTGAGCCTGGGGGCTTTGTCCAAAAAGCATTTCAGGAAGTGCAGAGCCAACAGCTTCAGGGTTGGAATTGAGGAATATCTGAAGCTGAATGGGACCCTTGGATGCCATCTGAGAACTGGAGCAGGTTGCTTATAGCTGTGTCTGGTTCAATTTTCTGTGAACAAACTGAACTGTGTCCAGCAAACCCACCAAGAAGGTGGAGAGCATGAAGGCACAGGATGCACAAGGAGAGGTGAGAACAGGATCATTCCACCGGGAGAAAAGAAGGTTAAGGGCTGCTCTAATGGCTGCAGAAAGGGCAGGCTCAGGTGTGCAGCAAAGTGTGGGAAGTAACAAGCACAAGTCGCAGATAAGGAAATTCTAACTAGGTAGAACGAAAATAACCTGACAGGCAGGGTAGGTAAATGCTGAAAAATGGACTTGGAGGGGCTGTGAAAACATCTTTGGGGACACAACTCAACTGGACACGTGGGAATACTGGGGTACAGAGATGGGACAATAGGGGATGGGTGTGTGAGTTATGGAGACAGAGAATGTGGGTATGGGGGACACAGGTGTGGGACAGGGATGTGGGGGTGTGAGGGGAGGGAACAGGAACCAAGGAGATTGGGGCACCAGAGAACAAAGAGGAAGGGACAGTGATAAGGGGACACACAGTCACAGCCATAGCAGGCTGTATGTGCTCTCTGTGGGCAGGTGGGGTCCTGGGCGGGGTGCAGGGTGGTCCTGGGCAGGGTGCAGGGTGGTCCTGGATGGGGTGCAGGGTGGTCCTGGGGGCACTTGGCTGGGCCAAAGGTCTGGTATCCCCACGTGCCCTTGGGGCTGGTATCCCCAGCCCTTTGTGTGTGGGTCAGTGGGGCTGGGCTGCAGCTCAGAAGTGCAGTGGGTGGTGGCAGAGGTTTCACCCCCCCCATCATGGGGATGGGGGAGCAGGGGGATTGTCTGTCTCCCACCCAAGGACTTCCGAGGGGACCCTGGGCTCTGGAGGTGAACAAGATTGGTAGAGGGATCTGGTGGGCCAGAGACCTCCAGCAGGACCTGCCCAGGGTAACCCGGGGTTTGCAGAAGCTCCTGGCAGCTTCAGCTGGCCCTGCTGCTTGTCCTCAGGGGACCCACTGACCCCACCGCCCCAGCCCAGGACTCGGGGCCTTGGACCTCCCTCTGCCTGAGCCTCTCGCAGCTCCTGCCTGGGGCCACGTGTCCCGCCCGGGCTATAATTAACTGGGCGCATTCCTGGGGGGTCACAGGAGTTTCCCGGCGCGGCAGCAGGCGGTAAGGGGGGACGGGTGCAGGGCACAGCGTGCCATGCCATGCCACGCCACGCAGCAGCGCAGGACACGGCACACGGTCCTGCCGGGACACCGACACCGCGCAGGCAGAGAGCGACAGGGGGGTGTGGGGGCCACAGCGGGCGGTGCAGCACCGAGTGTGACGCAGTGTGTGCCACGGGAGCCAGCACCCCTCGGCAGCCCGTGGGGCGGGGGAGCAGGACACACAACAACCTGTCACAGACAACCCTCGGGGCGACGCGTCGCGATGTGGGATGATGGGCAGTGTGACAGGACGGGCAGTGTGGCACACGACAGGCAGGTGCTGCCATGCACCGTTCAGGTGTGACAGGCCCTTTGCTGGGAGCTGTGCCAGGGGCCAGCGGCTTTGTTGTTCTTGGAGCATCAGTAGTGTCAACTATGGGGCAACGGCAGAGGAAGGGCTTGGTGGCGTCTGCTCTAGGACTGAAGGTGTGACTGGGGGCAGAGGTTTGGGCTATGGGGCTGTGGGGCAGCAGTGTTGGCTGTGGGGCAGTAGCTTCATGATAAGGGTTCAGTGATGGGGCAGATGAGGGGATCAGGCTCAGCTGTGGGGCATTGAAATGGACTGTTGGTCTCAACTATGGGGCTGCAGTTTTGCCAAGGAGCATCAGATTCAGTGATGGGGCAGTGGCAGAGCCTGGTGGCCCTGGCTGTGGGGTAGAGGCTTTGGTGGTGGATCCAGTGGCTTTTGCTATGGGGCAGTGCCAGTGGCAGGACCCCACGTCTCCAGCCAGGACTCCTGCCATGGGCAAGAGGCTCCAGTTATGGGGCAGCACCCTGACCTCCTCCTCGGTGTGTTTCCACAGGCAAGATGTGGGTTGCAGAGGGATCAGCCCCAACCCAGTGGAGCCTGCGGGATGGGGCCCATGCTGGACAGTTCCTGGCTATGGCTGACAACCTCCGCACCGTGGGACAGCTGGTGGATGTGGCCGTGGGACCAGAGGGTGACAAGGCTCATGCTGTGGTCCTGGCCTCCATCAGCTCCTTCTTCCTCCGCTTCCTGGAGGGCAGGACCAGAGGGCTTTGCCAGGACCCCCCACCCCATGTCCCTCTGCCACCCGGGGCCACGCTGCAGGGCTGGCGGGCCGTGCTCGCCTTTGCCTATCGGGGAGCTGTGCCCCGTGGCCAGGAGAAGGAGGTGGAGGAGGCTGCCCGGGCCCTGGGGGCCCCCCGGCTGGTGGCCGCCTGTGCCCGGCGACTGAAGATTGACCCCAAGGAGGAAGGACCTGAGGCCCTGAAGGAGCAGTGGGAGACACTAAGAGCCATGGAGCAGCTCCATGCCAAGGGCCTGGGCTGTGACCTCCAGCTCCAGGCAGGGGACGAGGTCATTCCAGGTGAGCTGGGGGTGAGGAGGGGGACAGGGCACTCTGGGATAGCCAAGTTCCCTGGTGGGGATGAGGCTTTAGAGGTGCCTGCAGGGCTGCTCCCCTTGGCAGAGTTGGGAGTTTGGTGGGCACAGCGACAGGACACCTGAGTTTCAGGGGCTGCACAGTGCAGAGGGTCCCCCTCTGCCCTCCACCATTCTTCCTCCTTCCCCATAGTTCAGCGCCTGGCCCTGAGCTGCTCCTGTGACTTCTTCCGAGCCCTCTTCACCTGCCCAATGCGGGAGGCCACCCATGACCCTGCTGCCCCACTGGTCACAGGGCTGTCCCCGGCCGAGCTGCGCCTCCTCCTCTCCTTTGCCTACACAGGAGCTGTAGCAGGGCCATGGCCCACGGTCCTGGAGGCAGCTGAGACCTCCCTGCGCTACCAGGCCTGGGGGCTCCTCACTCTCTGCCTGGATGTTTTCACCCATGGCCTGACTCCAGAGACTGTTCCGGACGTCCTGGCCTTTGCTGTGACTTATGGACTGGACGAGGTGGGCCAAGCAGCAGAGAACTACATCTTGGCCACCTTCCCCAGTGTGGTGGCTACACCGGCCTTCCTAGACCTGCCTGCACACCTTCTCATTCGCCTCCTCCGCTCTGATGGTCTCAACGTCCTCCATGAACTGGAAGCCTTGGAAGCGGCCTCCCGGTGGCTCATGGCCAATGGGGATGGCCAGGAGGATCTAGCCAAGGAGGTCCTGTCGTCTGTTCGCTTTGCCCTCATGTCGGGCCTGGAGCTGAAGAAGGTCCCCTCTGTGACTGCAGGGGTGGCTGACCCGAAGGTCCTCCGCGAGCTCTTGGTATCAAGTTTCGCCCCCACGGCTCAGCTGCCGTGCCGGGTACGTTCCTTGCAAGAGGTGCTGGTGGTTTGTGGTGGAGACAAAGTGACGGGCAACCTGGCTGCCCGGAAGCCCAGCAGACACCTCTGGTTTGCAGATCGCTACCTCAGCGCTGTGGGGCTGGTGAAGAAGGTTGAGTGGCGGGCACTGGGACACCTTCCTGATGGCCCACGATTCCGCCATGCTGTAACTGTGGTGGGCAACAATCTCTACGTCCTGGGTGGAAAGCACTACTACGGGGTCCATGACACCCTGACCAGTGTCTACAGGTGAGAGCTCTAGAGGACTTGGAGCTGCCGTGTGGCACCAGGACATCGCGGGATCAGAGGAGGTGTTGGTGGAGATAGAGTTGGCCTGTGGACCCAAGACACTGAGGCATTGCAGTTTGTCAAGTGGGCCCAAGGCGTTCTGGGATGGGTTGGGTGTAGGACTGAGAGGTGCCCTCCTACTCTTGGGTGTTACATGCTTTTTGGGGGTGGGGCTGGGAGGCTCCCATGTGGAGATACCTCAGGTCGTTATGGGTTTGATATTGCCCAGAAGGAGGGGATATTCCCATGCAAGGCTACCATGTGACCCCAAGGCATTCTGGGACTGACAGGTTGTGGGTGGGTTGTTGCCCTAAACGGTGCCAACATGAGGTTTTGGTGTTGTAGGTAACAGGTAGCCTCTTGCCTCTTTGCCTCTCAAACCCAGGTACCAGCCTATGGATGATTCCTGGGAGCGTCTGGCCAGCATGACATGTGGACGGAGCTGCTTTGCTGCCGTGGCACTTGGGAATTTCATCTATGCCCTGGGGGGCAGCTCGGGAGAGCTCTACTGCACAGACACTGTGGAGAGCTATGACCTGGCCAACGACACCTGGAGGTGAGGCCGCTCCAGCAGATTCCTGCTTCCCTCTGCCTCGGACCCTCTTGCCTTGGCTGTGGTACCCACTGAGTGCTTTGGGTCACTGAGCCTCCAGTGGAGGATGGGCCTCCAGTGGCCTTTGGGTGCTGAGCAACTGTGTCCCTTGGGGACTGGGTGTTGGCTGGTGTTGCCTAGTGGGTGGCAAATGAGTTTTTGGCCAGTAGTGTTTACTGGAGCTCTGTTGGCCATCTGCCAATGAGACAGATAGTTTGATTATCTCACTGGCAGAGTGTTCATGGAGTGCTCTGTTGTGTGTTGGCCGATGTTATTCATTGAGGGGGTTCACTGTGGGTTGACCAACAGTGTGGGGACTACGAAATGTTGAACAGTGATGCCCCTTGGGCATCTATTCTGTGTCAGCTGATGTTGCCCACTTGGGCTCATTGGGTGCTGGTGAGCATTGTCTGCTGAGCAATGGAGACACGGCTCACTGGGGAACCCCTGGGTGGTCAGCCACTGTGGGACAGCCCTGCTCAACCTGCCCTTCACCCCTCCCTCTTTCCTTGCCCAGGAGGTGCCAGCCCCTGCTGATGGCTCTGTGTGGGCACGCGGCGTGTGCCCTGGACGGCGCGCTCTACGTGTCGGGTGGCTGTGACGAAGCGTGCCAGTGCCAGGCATCCTTGCTGCGCTACGTCCCGGGTGCATCTGCCACGTTCCTGGCCCCCATGAACGGCCAGCGAGCCGGCCACATCATGGAGCAGGCGGGTGGGCAGCTCTATGTGGCTGGGGGCCTGTGTGAGAGGGCTGGGTGCACTGGCTACAAGGACCAGCTGACCTTTGAGGTCTACAGCCCCAAGCAGAACACCTGGGTTGTCCTCAGCCCCCTGCCCCGTGCCCACGTAGTTGGGGGTGCGGCTGTGCTGGGAGGGGAACTGCTTGTACTGGGAGGGTACAGTCATGAGACCTACCAGGACACACACTTGATCCACGCCTACCAGCCCGGTGCCCGGCGCTGGATCACCCGGGGCACCTTGCCCCATGCCTATACTGACCTACAGGCCTGTGTCCTCACCGTACCCACTGCCTTGCGTGGCCCCAACTGCCTTAAGGACCCCTGTGACATCACCTCAAACTCCAAATAATACTTAGGAGGGCTTAAAAACTGTGCACCCCATACTGGGATCCCCAGGTAGCATCAATATGGGACAAAAGTGCCCAGATCCCTCCCCCAGAGTGGGTTCTTCCCTTGGTTTCCATCAACCCTTCACCCGCAGGGTACGTGACCTAGACTGTGGCGATCCCGTGGAACACAAAGATTCCCCATACTGTAGCCCTGTGTCTCCAGGAACACTCACCCCCCCCAATTTCCCCCCAGCCCTGAGCTGAATAAAAGTGGCTCCTGAACTGCTTGTCTGGATCTGCTTGTTTCTGATGGGGAACCCAGACATCCAGGTGCTTGTTGCAAGAAACGGGAGGAGAGCAGGAGACCAGTGACCTGAGTGTCCTGGATGGGTGGTGGGGACCAGGAAGTGTGTGGTGGGCACTGGGGCTCTGGGTGCCTGTGTTCACTGGTCATCGTGTCTCAGGACTGAAAGGAGGGCATGGAGGATCCTGAGGGAACAGAGTCCTGGAGGTGCCAGGATTTGGGGGACTTGGTGGTGGAGTAGATAGGGTACAGTAGGGGGTCCTAGGGGCTTTGGGGTTCCTGAGTGGTTTTGGATTCCTGGAGTGACCTGGAGTGCTGTGTGGAGAAGTGAGAGAATTCCAGGGAGGACTTTCAAGGAGAGGCAGAGGTAATGCGGATTCTGGAAAGTACTGGGGTACCAGTGGTACCTTTGGGGAGGGGACTGGGTGGCCTCAGACATGTAGGGGAAGGTGGGGAGGTTCTCATGGCTCCCCAAAATAGTATTTTAGGTGTAGTCTAATGAGTGCTGAGCAGAGGAGCATAATCACTCCCCTTGGTCTGCTGTTAACCCTGCTGACCCAGCCCAGATTCCATTTGGCTCCCTTTGCTGCTGGATTGCTGAACCTTGTTCACCTTTCTGTCCACCAAGACACACAGGTCTTTTTCCACAGTTCTGCTCCCCAGCCAGTCTGTCCCCCACTGGCACCGTTGGGGGCCTTGTTCATGTTGCAGATCATGACAGCATGGGGGCTGCTCACCTTGGTGTCGTCCCAGGAAACAGGAATAGAGAGGACAGTGTGGTTGGAGGACACCACCAACAGACAGACAAGTGCCTGCTTACAAACACAGCGTGTGTGTGTCCATGGACTCACCTGCACAACCAGAGCTCGGCCAGCAGACACACTGACATGGGTGAGTGCTCATCCCAGCTGGCCAAGCACAGGCACGTGTTCCTGTGGACCAAGTAGTCAATCTGGTAGAAGACCACGCTGACCCACAGCAGTTTGATAACACTTTTGGGGCAGCTCAAACTGCAACAGCATTTCAGGCTGCAAAAGTGATCCACAGGATCCAGCTGTTGCATTTGTGCACCAGTGCTGGGGCCAGCCATTCAACCCCCATCAGTGATGACCACTGTCTCTTTTTCA